AAGGGAGATAGGAGAGAGGGGGAACGGAAGGGGGAGCTAGAGAGAGATTCTGCGTCTGGATGGAGCTCTAAGAGATAGTTTCAGGGGCTCACAGGCCTTCCTGGAGACGCCCCCCTCTCCGGAGTTTCTCATGGACATGCTCTTGGAGATTTAGAAATTACTCTGTTCTCAAACAGAAGTGCTGATGCCCAAATGAGAGGGGGAGTCAAGCAGAGGAAACAGAACGTCTGTGGCAGATACAGAGAAGTCGGCAGAAAGGGGCCAGGGAGAGTGCTGGTTAAGAAAGGCAGCAAAATGAGGACAAGAAAGCAAGGTGGCCGGAGAGGGCGAGGACTCCCACCCAGCGGAGACCCTCCCTGGGTGCCAGGGTCTCATCCGCCGCCTTCTGTGGACCTCAAGGATGGAGGCAACCTGACGCGGGTGAGTGTTTCATACTATTTTTTGGGTTGCGTGTCTGTGGGTGAAGCGAAGTGGTTGTGCTGGAGTTTGGGGTGGTGGAGGAAAGGGATAGCCAGAGAGGGTCGGTGCTCAGCCCACAATATTGGAACCCAGTGCCCAAAGGAAGCGCTAAACAGGCCTTTGCTCAAACAGAGGAAATAGCCATCTCATACCTTGGCTTAGGACTTTCGGTTTGCAGAGTGGATTTTCAACCATGAATTCACTGAATGTCAAAACAACCTTGAAAAATAAGCAACCAGCTATAATGGCTTTTTAGAGATGTGGTTTAGAGAGGTTCAGGGACTTACCTAAAGGCACACAAATAGCACAGCTCTCAAGGATCCTCTCTCTCCGGTGGTGCTCTCAGAGCTGTTCAACAGCTCCTTTTTCTTACAGCATTTCAGGCCATTGTACTGCAATTTACTTGTTTAGTTCTCAGTCTTCTCATGTAAACGTTGGGTTGCATGAGAGCAGGGGTCTTACTTTACTCATCTCTGTATCTCTGGCATTTAGCTCATGGTGGGCTCTCAGGATATTTAATTGGCCTGGTAACTCGTTGCGTCTCAACTGGCACTGTGCTATGTCTGTTGCTAGTCAGGCAGTCTGTCCATCAGCCTGGATTTAGTCTTCACTCTCCTGCTCCTTTCATCTGTGCTTTGTTTTTGGCCCTCAGTTCTGTTCTCCTTGCTTACATTCCTTTCATCTCTTCCCTCCTCCTGCATTTTCTTGGGCCTTTTTTTTTGCATAGGATGAATAAATAAAATGGTGATTAGGTCATTCAAGCTTAACTAAATTGTTCAGATGAGGGAACTGATATCTCCAATAAATGGCATATTTATAATGTGCTTGATATATTGTCTCTGTAGGCTTAAGAGAACTCTGGTTTGTAGTGTTTTAAGTAACTGCTTAAGAGGTAGATGTTTCATTTCTCCCTCTGGGGTGACTCTTCTTTCTCTAATTTTGCGAAATACTTAAGTTTTCTTTCTGTTTTTATAAAATTGTACACCTGTAATGATAAATTCTGAATGCCAACTCCATGGGAGCAGATGAGTAATTATAATTCTACCAACAGGAACATGAGTAAGTAGAAAAAATTATTACCTGGTCTGTGAAAGGCTAGTGCCTTTTTTGAATTTAGGTCTCGTGCCAATTATTTATGACATCAACACAATTCCATCAATAGACTCAGACTGGAAAGGAAAACTTAAGAGTACTCTGAAAGGGCCACTTGGACTTTGAAGTGGAAATAGGGAAAATCCTTCTCAGGCAAGGTCTTTGGAAGGAAATGAGGACATTGAAACCACAGGACCATTAGAGAGGGGAGGACCCTCGCATAGAAAAAGAGATGAAGAGAGCTCTGGTCATATTGGTCATATTGTTTCCCTGCTCAGGAACCTTCCCTGACTTCCCAGTGTCTACAGATCATGTCCAGGTTTGTTAGCCTGGCCTCTACGATCCTGTACTGATGCCAGCGTGCCTCTCAGCGTTGTCTTTTCTTTACTTCACTCACCCGCATCCCAGGCATAGGACTCTATTTGGAATTCTTTCTGTAAGCTCTTTGCTTTCTGGCAAACATTCCCTTTCCTACAGTAACTCTGTTGGTAATTCCATTCACCCATCCTCGCACATCTAAGCCCTGTTCATTCTTGAAGCCTATTTTCTGTGGCATCTCCTTCAAAAAGTCTCCCCTGATTGTCCCGGGTGAAAATAATTTCTCATTTCTCTGAGTTACAGCACTTTATCTGCCTTCCTTAAATGATGTGTCACTCTACTTTGTACTGCATGTTTGGGTTCCCTCCAAAATTGCACAGATCATGCAGGTAGGGTTGGGATCTGATGCATTTTTTTTTTAATCTAGTACTGGACCTAATACAGCATGTTACACATAGAAGGTGCTTAAAAATATTTATTTAATAAATGAAACAAAGGGGCCGAGTGAGCACCTTCCAGTGTGAGGACTAGGCTCCATGTCTGCCAGTGAAGATGCAACAGTAAACAAAAGAGGGCAAGAACAAACAGGCCTCGGAGGAGGCTCGCCCGTCCAAAGGCTGAAGTTCCAGAAGTCTGCAAGATGATGGGAATCGATATTTGTCGGTCACCCTCTGTGTTTCAAGATCCAAGTTAGTTGTTCTATACTTGTTACTCCGGAACAACACATTTAAGGTATTATACTCATGTTAAGGATGAGTTAACTAGGACCCAGACACTAACTAAGGCTAAGAGAAGCTAAATAACTCATCCTTATGATGGATTCAGTACGTGCTGAGATGGGACAGGCTTTAAACTTAGATCTCTCTGACCGCAAAGCCCAGCCCTTCTGCACATCACCACACTGCCGCCTTTTGCAGAGCATGCATTTTGTATCTGTGGTTGTGGGGCAGGGGTTACAGGGGGAAATTCCTTTCTGCATTGTTGGCCAAGGGTGACTCACCTAAACAGTATTTACACCCCCACCTGCAACGTGATTAAAAAAACAACAGTGTAACAAGTTGGAAATGAGTGTTTGTGGTGGTGGTGGTGGTGCAATTTGTACCCACTGGGTTGCATTTTTTATTGGATTTCTTACTAGATCTTCCTCTGTACCTTTGGAGGCTATTTCATGTACCCTTAAGAGCCTTACAGGGTGGGGCTCTTCAGTTAACAAAGCTACAGATGTGTGCGGTTAAAACTAATGGAATGGCCTCATTTTTCACAGCACTCTAACACCTAGGCTGAAAACTAACATGATCTTCCTGTTTGCCCTCAGTTGCCTTGGAGGTTCTTAATTCTTTATTTTCCCACTGGTTCAAGTATCTTTAGGATTCCCAGCATTTTAAAGGACAACATAGCCCTTCCATTCCCTAATTTCCTTCCGATTGACATTCATACTAAGGGGAGCAGAGGAGGGAATTGGTAACTTACTAATGAGCCTCCATAAAGCATATACTGGCACTGCGATTGAGGTTTTCACTCAGACCCCAGGACCTTGCACTCAGCAAGTGCTCAATAAATATTTCTCAAAAAAATAAATGAGCGACTCGAATGAATAAAAATGTCTTCTCTCTCC